GAGAGGAAGACAAAGAGGCAGGCGGGTATGTCTGGAGGTGGACCCAGGCACTAAGGACTTGAGGGGGCAGGACCCACACATCCCTTCCATAGGGCCAAGGGCTAGTGAGGGCATGTGCCAGACAGTAAATCTAGGCATGGAGGAACTCACCGGTACCATTCCTCCTAGCCTACAGGAGGGCAGGGAGAAAGGGGGGTGTTAGCACAAACCAGGCCATTCATTGGAGCTGGTGACTGCCTTTCAAGTAGGCCCTGAAAATCAGAGGTGGCCTAGGTGTGCCCTGCATGAAGGGGAGGTCCCAAGGGACGCGCGAATTTTAAAGTATTCAGAATTGGCCTTAGAGGGCGCCTGACCCTCGTTCTGGATAATAACATGGCATCTCGCCCAGGTAGAGAAGGCCTAGGACCTTGAACCATGTCCTCCAAAGTGAGCTCTGTTTGCCTCTCCTGCTGTGTGGCCTTGACAAGTCGTTTTCTTCTGTGCCTTGATTTTCTTTTTTCTTTTTTTGAGATGGAATATTGCTCTGTCACCTGGGCTGGGGTGCAGTGGCACAGTCTCAGCTCACTGCAACCTCTGCCTCCAGGTTCAAGCGATTCTATTGCCTCAGCCTCCCAAGTAGCTGGGATTACAGTTGCACACCACCTGCCCAGCTAATTTTTGTATTTTTCGTAGAGACGGAGTTTTGCCATGTTGGCCAGGCTGGACTTGGGTGATCCACCTGCCTTGGCATCCCAAAGTGCTGGGATTACAGGCGTGAGCCACCGCACCCGGCTGGTGCCTTGGTTTTCTGATGTGTAAAATGGGACCAACTTCTCAGGGGTGTGGGGATGAAATGAAATGACACATGGAAAAGACTCTCAATGTGGAGACTGGGCCTTTCCTTAGATGGGGGCGTCACAGAGGACCTGAACCAGGGCTCTTCTGGGGCAACAGGCTGAAACTGCCTCCCCAGAATCCCACATTATACTGGTTAAAAGCAGAGTCTGGACTCAGAAGGTGCTGCGTATGAATCACAGCTTTACTACTTATCAGCTGTTGTCCTCATCTGTAAAATGGGACAGTAGTCATGGTCTCATGTTCTTGTTATGGGCATTTTATGCCTGGTACATGGCAAGTACAAAATAAATGATTTGTTACTGTTTTTATTTGACAGGACTCCAGACCCCATCCTCCTAACTCCACCCACTTTGGTCTCCATGGAGATCTGAGGGCGGTTTTAGGACCTGTGGCACTGAAGATGGAATAGCTTTCCCTTGTGGGTCTGACCTCCTGGGTCCCCTGGCTGATTCTTTGTTTGGTCTTGGACATATCAGCTTTCTCTGGGCCTCAATTTCCCGTATTTGCTGAATGACAGCCTGGACTCCATATTCCCTATTTAGGACTCCAGCGCTCCTAAAGGCAGACTCTCAGGGCTTGGAAGGTAGAAGAACACTACAAGAAGGCAATGTCTGTTCAAAGGTGTGTGGGCTGGGGGAGGCGTGCTGTGTGATTGATCCTGCTCCAACTGAGATGGTCCCGGCACTCCAACCGGCACTCCAACTCCAAAGGGTCAAGGTGCTGCCAGTCACTCAGTCCCTGCTCTGAGGTGGCTCAAACCAGGTGTCCCGAAAGCAGCCTAGGGACGGCGGCCAAGCTTAAACACTGACGCGAGAAAGGGGTGGAGTCGAGGGAGGGGACGTGGTCTCAGGAACAAAGAGGAGGGCGGAGAGGGGCTGCCCTGAAGGCTCTGAGACTTCTACGACCCCAGGAAACTTACCTCGGCTCGGGGCGCCCTCCCCGACTTGGCGCAGAGCCTGCGTCCCCCTGCCAATGCCCACCCGACTCGCTAAAGCCACCGAGGCAGACGACCCCAAGACTACGATCTCCAACCTCCCTGGCCTGCGAGGGGCGTGGCCGTCAAATTGAATTTTCCCAATGGCGCACGAGAGTGGGAGGTACCCGATCGAGAATTGGCTGGCGCGTCGGGGCGGGGCGGGGCCAGCCGGGAGGCTGGCGCGGCTGGACGGGCAGCTCTCCACAGAATCCAGGGGACGGTTGCTGAGCGGGACTGGGACACCGGGTCGCGGCGCCTCCTGCCTGCGCGTGTCTAATCCATCTGTCTGGTCCCGAAAGAGCTAAGCCGAGCCTGCGCCGGACGGGTGGGCTGGACTGAGAGGTGGGTGTGCGGACCGCGGGGGGGATCCTGATGCTGCCCCAACGTGTTCGAGGGTGGAACCCGGATGTCTAGCCAGGAGTTCTGGAACGTCCAGACCTAGGAGCCCTCACCCATACGAGAGCTCTAAGCCATGAGATAAAGTTCTGAGACTGTTGGGGGAAGACGCCCGCGGATTCCTAAGGGACCCCACGCCCCACAGGGGCGCTAGTCTGTGGCGGCAGAAACCCTGGGGAAGCTGCCACAGAACCCTGAGGCCCCTCACAATGTCCGGCGACCCCAGACTGTGTGACAGGGAGCCATGGGATTGGAGAAGGGCAGCGGCAGGGATCTTCTTATAGTCCCGTGGGTGTCTAGATTAGGCATTAGGGGGACACCTGCCCCTTAGAAGAAAAGACATGGGGGGAATTAGAATGTCCGCAGAACCTAAGGCTGGTGACCACTGTACAGTCTTGAAAAGGTTTAACGCAGACAGAGTAACTAGGTAAGAGGCAAGAATCCTAACAGGCAGAGATTGGGAGGTTGACACCTCTGAGCCTACCAGGATGGGAGGAGGAGCCAGCAGTGACTTAAACAGGCAGGGACCCACATACCCCAACTGTGTGGAGCTGTAACCCTCACCCCCTACCCATGCACCGGATGGGGTGACTTCCCAAGTGACTGTTCTAAAGAGAGGGAAGGGATGATTGAAAGATGAATCAACAGGAGACGGGGGGCAGTCCTGGGGCCATACATTAGTCAGTCACCATACATTAACTAAGCATCTAGTGTGCCAGACCAGGGCCCCTCAAAGTCCAGACATTAGTTGGGGCTACAGGAGGAAGGAGAGATATACGCTGGGAGGCTGGGCCAGGATTTAGGAGTCTATTTTGATAGGCAGCACTGGGGCGAAATGGGGCTCTTGCCTCTGTCACTGAGAGTGTTCCAGGCCCTTGAGGGCACTTTGGAAGGGAGCTTCGGAAGCCGGAGATGACGAAGATTTTGATTACATCCTTCTCTGCCCTCTAAGTCTTTGGCTTCCTCCTTGCTTAGTGACAAATCCTTGGCCCTCTTCAATCCTCTCAGTTTGCCTGTGCCGAAAGCCCTTCCAGGTGGGGAATTGAATTCTGTGTGAACTGGCAGGAGGTGCTGGGTGCCTGGACACCTGGCTTCAGGATGTCTGGACAGCAGAGCTGGCTCCAAGAATTAGAAGACAAAGTGTACCTTCCTATACCTGGGGGAATGACAGTGGTGGTGGGAGCGAGAACTATGGGTTCAGCCCACAGCCAGAGGCTGAGCCTGGAGAGTGGGTGGGGGCTGGGTAGGCCCTGGGGATGGGTGGGTGGGGCAGGAAACTGGAGACTGGAGTGCACCCCCTGGTGGTGAGCACAGCTTGGGTGGGCCTTGCCGGGCTCTGGCTTCTCAATCCAGGTCCCTGCCCTCCCTGTTTGAGGTTTAGACAGGATGAGAGTCCATCCTAGGCCACACAGCAGACTGGTGGCCAAGCTGGCAGGGCTGGAACCAAAGACCCCCTACCCTGGGTTTGCTGAGTTTTCCAGCAAACCACCCTAGGGCAGAGGGCAACTTCCAGCCAGGAGCCACATTACAGGATGGGACAGTAATGGACGCTCCTAGGTTACAGAGGGAAAGTAAGGCACAGAGCCTAAGGGTCTGTGGTTTCTAGAAGCCCCAGCATGCCTGATTCATGTCTGTCCCCTGCAGAATCCTCTGAGCTGGTGACAGGTGCCACAGGCACTGGGGATCTCACCAGAAAGGAACCAACGGAGCTAGGGGCCAGTGAGATGGCAGACGAGGCCTTAGCTGGGCTGGATGAGGGAGCCCTTCGGAAGCTGGTAAGTGGCCCTATCACCCACTGTGGGGACAGGAAAGCCAAGCCAGAGAGGCAGGGTCAATCCAGGATACTTCTCAGCTAACACGAGGAAGTGATGGGGGAAAGGTCAGGAGGAGGGGGACACGGGAATAGAGGTAGGCCAGTTCCATGTGGCTGATGCAGAGGCCCTTGTGGCATGTGCCTGTCCATGCCAGGTGCTGAAGCCTAGTCCCTCCCAGCCCTCCATGGCCACCACCTGTTTAAACAGTAACTGCTGTGGACTCACCCATGTGCAGCCACAGGTGTGGTGAGGCTGGATATGCCTCTCCAGAGCAATAGCTGGGGCAGTGCCCACCCCTGGAAGGTGGCCCGGTGATAATAGTAGCAGCAATGATTAACAATGCCAAGGCATGGCAGGGGGCAGGCTGGGTACTGGGTCACAGAATAATTACAGCAGCTCTGAAAGCCTGGGCACGGCAACTCAAGAGAGTTGAAATCACCTGCTCAAGGACACCCAACTAAGAAGGAGCTGTGCCAAAATCCCAATCCCATAGTGGGCCACGGGGGACCAGAGTCCTGGGAAAGTCAAGGCTGGACGAGGCCATAAGAGAGAAACAGGCTTTGTGGGCCCTTATGGATTCTGTGGCTTCTCATCTCATTTTTCTACTCCTGAGTCTCAGTTCCTCTACCTGTAAAATGGAGGGAGGGAGGGAGATGTGTGTGCACACAAGCTCTAGGTCCTAGAGTTGGCATGGGGACAGAATGAGGCATGGACCCAGATCTCAGGTAGAAGAAAGATGAGCCCACTCCATCCCCTTTCTTGTTCCTCGTCCTGAGAGCCCTGTCTATCCCCATGCACAGAGAGGCTGTAGGGCAACCCGGTGGGGCAGGGCTCCTCCCCCAACCCCCAAGACCAGGCAGCCTGACCTGGAGGAGGGGCCAGAGGAGCTCCATCTCCCCAGTCCCTGAACCTTGTCCATGGGGGTAAATTAAAGATTTACCTTACCTAGAAGACAAGTGACCCACCTCCCCACCCCCACCATGCCTTCCCCTGCAGGCAGAGGCTGGAACCAGCTAGCGTAGCCCAGCCACTGGGCAGTGCCCAGCTGCTGCCATAACCTCCCCAAGGCACTCCTGCCTGTATGTTCCCAGACCAGTGCATTAGACTCTCTGGGTGTCTGCCTCTCCATTATCACCGCAGGATGTGTGCAGCCTGGAGGGGATGGGGTTGGGTTTCCAAAGGTGCCCATCAGTCAGCTCGACCTCCCCTCAGGAAGTCCAAGTCCCAGTGGGAGTCACAGAGTCTGCGCAGCCCAAAAAGAGGGAATGCTAGGCCAGGTTCCCGCGCATCCTCATCTCAAGGTGTCCACAGTCAGGCTCAGAGTTCTTCAGCCGCCACCTCCCTCTCTCATGCGAGGCTCGGGCGGCGCTGAGAAAAGTTTCGGAGAAGAAGCTGGAGCAGTGGTTGAAGTCAGTCCACTCACGCCCCAATTTCTGGGAAAGAACAGATGAGAACCTGCCCCGGTCTCAGGCTTGGTGCCGCTCGAAGTCTTTCCGACCCTGGGAGCGGCTCCTCCAGCACCCGGCGCCCGCCATTACTGCGTCCCGCGCGCCGGCCCGGCCCCCGCTGGCCTCGTGGCAAGAACGGGGGCGTCCCGAACCGGGCTCCTCCCCGCGGGGCCGGGCCTTATAAGGAAAAGCTGGGTCCGCTCCGCCCGCCCTGCGCCCCGCGTCTGGCCGATTTGGGGATGCGGGCAGTCGCTTCCGGCCCCGGCTCCCGCACATTCTTGAGGATTGGGCGGGGAATGGGCGGAATGGGGGCGTCTGGGGACTTGCACGCCGCGTGCCCCTCCACACCAGCCGGGACGCCCTCCCCTCGGTCCCGAGTTCCAGTTCGACCTCCGTCACTCAGCTGGGTATCCTGGGGACCTTGGTTTCTTCCCTTTAGGTCGGGACACTGAAGCAGGCGGTAGCGGGGGTCTTCATATCTGGCTCCCCCTTCGGCGCCTAGCGCCAGGCGGGGTGGGCTAGGCGAGGGCGGCACCCTGCGAGGGAGGGCGGTCGCAGAGCCTGCGGGCCTTCAGCGCCCCCTGGCGAGGCCTCGCTCCACCGCCGGCGGGACCCCCATGGGCAACTAGGGGAGCTGGGATTGGGAGAAACCCTGGAGAGTCCCCTCCGTTGTGCTGTTGGGGAGACTGAGGCCCAGCAAGACCTCAGGGCCTGCCAGGCTTCCCAGCAGCGAGGGCAGAGAGTACACGGAGAGCCGGCCCCCCAGGGGGAGGAAGCACCCTCTTTCCTCCCGGGAGAATTTCACTGGGCAGTTTCGGAAACCCGCCCCATCCCCTTCCCCTTCCCCTTCCCCCTCAGTAGACAATGGCGCTTTGTACTTCCTTCCCTCCCTCCCACAGCTCCCTCCTTACACAGCGGTGGGGCCTGGGAGGGTGGAACAGAGGAGACACTGTGGTCCAACCTTTGCCTCCAGGCCCAAAGGTAAGGGTCGTGCCAGAGGGTGACCAGTGGAATGAGGTTGTCAGTCCCCAGCCTTGCCCACCCACTATGGGAGATCAGAGGGAGGCTCCCATTTTCCAGATGGGGACACTGAAGCTCCAGGGGTTGTGTTGTAGAGTGGCCAAGTTCCTACATCAGACTTTTGTCAGGGACAAGGACCCCATCTCAGAGCGCAGAGCACTGAGAATGGGGACCTAGGAGACAAAAGGCTAGCCCTTGCCCCTCTGGACCTCTTTACCCTCTGTACAGAAGGGGCTGGACTCTCTGTCCCCTCCAGCCCCCAGTCTCCAGATGTACCACAGGAGGCTCTAGGCCTGAGACACAGCCAGGACTGGGGGCTGGGGAGTGAGCCTCATTCCCCCTGCCTCTGCTATAAGGTCTCCTTAGGCCTCAGAGCATCTCTAGTCCAGGCTAGAGGGATCTCCAACACAGTGCCAGGATCCCTGAGGTCCCCATCATGACAGACAGACCCCAATAGCAGAGCTATCCTCAGTCTAGTGCAGGCCCTGGAGTCAGAGAGACCTGGGTTCAAATCCTGGCTCAGGTCATTTGACCATGAGCAAATCACATCTCCCTGGACCTCAATCTCCTCATCTGTCAAATGGGAATAACACAGTATCTAGGGTTTTTGTGGGTTTAGGACAAGTAGGGGGCTCAGCACAGGGTTCAACTCACAGGCTCTCCATAAATGTTACTGATGCCTCGGGATATGCCGCCCTTCCCCTTTGCCCTCTCGTCTCTCTCCCTCCCCCTGACTGGCTAGAACCAAGTATGGGGGTGATGCTTATTGCAACTCCAGCTATGTACAGGAGAACCCGAGTCACTGTTCCCAACCCCACCCACCGGCAAATGAGAAAACCAAGACGCAGAGAGTTTAAGGGTTATACTCCTAATCACCCAGCCAAGCTGGAACCAACTGGGGGCTCTGGCCTGAGTTTCGGGGGGCCTTCTCATAATTCCTCAGGAATGTGGAGCCTGGAGGGCTCTTCCCCCAAGACTCTCCCTGCTCTCTTCAGACTAGGACAAGCTGGCTCATGGCTGAGTTGGGCCAGCCCACACTCCCTGCTGAAAACTATCTCCATTCCATCCCCACCCTTGCCACCTGGCCTTCCCACTAAGCAGAAAGGAATGATGGGAGGGTGCTAAAAAGGGAGATGATAGAGGGTTCTTTGGCCCTACCCCTGAATGATTTGGGGGGTGGGGACAGAGGAAATCACCCTGCCTTTACTGGCTCCCGTCTGGTTATCAGACCCACACTGGAGGCTTATCTCTGCCACTATCTTCCAGGGGAACCCTGGGCCAGTCCTCTCTCCCTTGAGCCACGGAGGATCTGTAGGGGGTGGCTCTACGTGGTGGAGGTGTGGGGGAGGCAACAGGATTGGCTGACTCACTCCAGAGAAGGTGTTCTTTCCTGAACCTGGTTAGACCAGTTACCCCCAATTTCCTGGTAACTGAGGGGCTGAGAACCTGGTAGGAGCACCTGTCACCCAGGGATGCCCTCTCTAAGGCCCTGGGGTGGCCCCTAGTGCCAGCTACCTTATATGTCTGGGGAATTGGTCCTCCCACTCTGCGCCCTGGCTCCTTCGATGGTGGCTAGGGCCAGGCCAGTGCAGTGGGGACAATAGCCCTCAGCCAGGCAGGACTCCTGAGCACCTGCCCTCAGTTTCCCCATCTGTGGATGAAGCAGTCAACCCCCAGGTGGGCTGTGGTGTTTGGTCACTAGACCATGGGAGCCTCCCTTGCTCAGAGGGTAGACTTCAGCTATCACCTTTCCCTTTAGGGACCCTGTTAGTGGCTCATAGGGTGGCCTTCCTCCTCCTCCTCCTGCAGTAGCTCCCTGGCTTTTGGGGATCTGGGCTCTGAGGGGCAGGAATCGAGTTGTAGAAAGGAGTGCCTGGCTTGGCATTTGGCACAGGTGGGCAGTTTCTGACTGTCCACTCAGTCGTGTGCTCTGTGAACCACAATGCAAAGTGGGCTCCCCAAGAGCCCTGAAACAGTGGGCTGGGTCTACCCCCGAGACCCTGCGTGGGCAGGCAGGCACGTGAAGAGCTTGGGACAGAGGGAGTGGACACAGGCCACATATTGTGCCCCAGGCAGAGCCCGTGGGCAGCTGGTGCCAGCCCTCCGCCCCTGGCAGCCAAAATGACTTGCCCCTCGCCCCCGCTGCAGCTGGAGGTCACAGCAGATCTGGCAGAGCGGCGGCGCATCCGCTCAGCCATCCGGGAACTGCAGCGGCAGGAGCTGGAGCGCGAGGAGGAGGCCCTGGCATCCAAGCGTTTCCGAGCCGAGCGGCAGGACAACAAGGAGAACTGGCTGCAGTGAGTAGCGGGGGGTGGAACATGCGGGTGAGAGGGTGAGTGTGCACCCCAGCTCAGCTCATGTGTGCAGGCAGGCATGAGCACAAGTGTATCTGTGGACTGCATGTGCCAATGGCAGTACGTCCACACACGCTTCTGGAAAAACAGGGATGTTTGTGGGCATAGAGCATGTACTGATTTTGGCGTCGCAGCCGTGCTGGTGTAGACGGCACGTCTGAGTGCGTGGTATTAGTGCCCATGTCCATGGGCATATGTGTATCAGTGTGCAGTCAGAGGGTGTGCACAGCCACATGCCCTTCTGCCAAGGTTCTGGGTACTCTGTTCTGACTCCTACCCTTAGCCCACATCCTCCACGACTTGGCCATGGCAGTGGTGGTTACAGTCATGATGTCTCTGCAGCTCTCAGCAGCGGGAAGCTGAGCAGCGGGCTGCCCTGGCACGGCTGGCAGGGCAGCTGGAGTCCATGAACGATGTAGAGGAATTGACTGCACTGGTGAGGCCCAGGCTGGGGCAGGGGATGGGGGCAGGGCAGGTGAAGACCTGGATTCCACAGCCCAACACCCGCAGCCTGCCTGTCACCCACAGTTGCGAAGCGCTGGTGAGTATGAGGAGCGCAAGCTGATCCGAGCTGCCATCCGCCGTGTACGGGCTCAGGAGATTGAGGGTATGTGGCCTGTCCCGGCCCCACCCCTACCCTGCTGTCTGCTGTCCACAGCACCTCCCCACTACTCACCTGACACTTGCTCCTTCCCTTCTAGCTGCCACCTTGGCTGGGAGGTTGTGCAGCGCGCGTCCCAACAGTGGCTTAAGAGAGGACAGCAAGGGGCGAGTGGCACACAGGCTGGAACAGTGTGAGGTAAGGAGGGTGGGAGGGTGGCCCAGTGTCCTGTGCCCATGGATGCCAGTAGCATAGAGCACCTGTGTGTCTTTGCTAGGCTGCTATTTGACTGTAAGGGGCCCACCCCTGCCATCCAGCCTCTATTCAGCGGCCAGAGGGATCTCCCAGAAATGCAAATCCGGCCCTGGCACCTCCCCTGCTTCAACCCATCCCAGGGCTGCCCCTCACCCTCAACACAGCCCACATCTTTACCTTGGCTTATGGGGCCTGCATGTCAGACCCCAGCTGTCTCACAGTTCACTGTCTGTTCTCCAGAGAGTGTGGGTGAGACGTCAGGCCATGCAGGTTCCCTCAGTGGCCAGCAGAGGCCGCTGGGTCCACAGTCCTAGCAGGACCCCACTCCCACTCCAGATGAACCAGGCTGAGGCCAGGGGTCAGGAACCTCCACTCCAGGGATCTATTAAGGCTCTCGTCCCCAATAGGTCTCCTGCCATACCCACCCACTGACATCAGGACCGGGTTCTCTCTGAACCCCTTTCGCTAGGTAGTGCCAAGAGATTGGGAAATGGGGATCAGAGACTGCCCTTAGCATGTCATTGCCAGTGCTTGCGCAGGTGTGCCTACAGGAAGCCATGCCCCACCACTCTGCTTTGCATGCCCTGCCCTGGGCACTTGCCAGCCTGGCCCTCAGTGGTGGGGTTGGCACTCGAGGCCTAGGGAGCCTTGGTTATATCCTATGGGTCCGTTACAGGTGCCAGAGCGAGAGGAACAGGAACAGCAGACAGAGGTCTCAAAGCCAACTCCCACCCCTGAAGGCACCAGCCAGGATGTGACCACAGTGACACTCCTGCTGCGAGCCCCACCTGGGAGCACATCCAGCTCACCTGCCTCACCCAGCAGTTCACCCACTGCTGCCTCTCCTGAGCCTCCATTGGAGCCTGCCGAGGCCCAGTGCCTTACAGCCGAGGTTTCAGGCGCCCCAGAGCCACCCCGCAGCCCACCCAAGACCACCAGCCCTGAGCCTCAGGAGTCTCCAACGCTTGCCAGCACTGAGGGCCAGGTGGTCAACAAGGTGAGTCTGGATGAGGGGCAGGGATGCCAGGCAAGTGAGCAGGTCTGGGAGTCAGGCCTTGCTCATGCTGTGTTCTTCTCCCTTGCAGCTTCTGTCTGGCCCCAAAGAGACCCCTGCTGCCCAGAGCCCCACCAGAGGCCCTTCTGACACCAAGAGAGCAGGTGAGGATCCCAGCAGGGGTAGTCACAGGCATCTGCCTTCCCCTCCCCCAGCCTCCCTTTCCCTGCCTAGAGAATGGGCTCTTGTGCCTGGCAGCTCCAACTTCCTCAGGTCCAGGCAGTCCCTGATACTGCACCCCACCCCTGAAGTGTCCCCGCCCCCAGCTAGGCCCACCTCCCCCTCCACCCCCATGGTTAGAGGCCTCCCCTGCAGCCTTGAAAGGCAACGGGCCTCAGGCACATTCTTCTCCCCAATAAGGGAGTCCACCCATCTCCCAGCTGGAGCTGTGGGCAGCACTGGCCAGGGGGGCTGTCCCCCCTCCCCATCTGCAGGAAGGATCTGGGCATCCTTCCTCCAGCCTAAGCCTTGCCCGGCCCCCAGGAGTGTCCCAAGTCATCCTAGGGTCAGTGTGGGAGGGGAAGAGGTGCCTGTAGGAGAGACGCTGCCGAGTGGGGATGCCGGAGTGTGGGAGATCCAGGAAGGGATGGAGAGGTGGAGTGGGGGTTGAGTATAGGAAAGGGTGGGAGGCTAGGGAGGTGTAGAGGAGAGGATTATGAGAGTTGGACCCCCACTATCCCCTGTCTTTTCTCTTTCCCCACATGGCCATCACCCCCTCCCCAACCTGCCAGACGTGATTGGACCCCGACCCTGCCAACGCTCCCTGTCGGTGCTCAGCCCCCACCCGCCAGCCCAGAACCGAGGTACTACTTATTCTCACACCGCCTAGGACCTGGGCAGACCCTGTCCCACCCAGTCACTGACAGCCCTCCTGTTCCTTCTAGAGTCCACCCCCCTTGCCAGCAGACCTTCCTCGTTCCAGCGGGCTGGCTCTGTTCGGGACCGTGTCCACAAGTTCACATCGGATTCTCCTATGGCTGCTAGGCTCCAGGATGGCACACCCCGGGCTGCCCTAAGTCCCCTGACCCCCGCAAGGCTCGTGGGCCCCTCCCTCACCAGTACCACCCCTGCCTCCTCCTCCAGCGGCTCCTCCTCTTGGGGCCGCAGTGATACCTCCTCCCGGTTCAGCAAGGAGCAACGAGGAGTAGCCCAGCCCCTGGCCCAGCTTCGAAGCTGCTCCCAGGAGGAGGGCCCCAGGGGGCGGGGCTTGGCTCCCAGGCCCCTTGAAAACGGAGCAGGGGGGCCTGTGGCACGTTCAGAGGAGCCTGGTGCCCCATTGCCCGTGGCCGTCAGCACTGCCGAGCCAGGGGGCAGTATGAAGACTACATTCACCATCGAGATCAAGGACGGCCGTGGCCAGGCCTCCACAGGCCGGGTGCTGCTGCCCACAGGCAACCAGAGGGCAGGTAGGCCCCCCAACTGCCTCCCCAATGGGGATGAGTGCCTGCAACTGCACTTCTGCATACAGCTCAGGTGCTGGCGGCCAGAGCTCAGGGTGTCTCCAAAGGGTGTGCTGGGAGCGAGGGCACTATCAACCTTGTCTGGCACTGCCCTCACTCCACCTAATCCTCCTGACAGCTGCCTTTCTCCCCACTCAGAACTGACACTGGGGCTGCGGGCGCCCCCGACCCTACTCAGCACCAGTAGTGGGGGCAAGAGCACCATCACTCGTGTCAACAGCCCTGGGACCCTGGCTCGGCTGGGCAGTGTCACTCATGTCACCAGCTTCAGCCATGCCCCCCCCAGTAGCCAAGGAGGCTGCAGTGTCAAGGTGAGCCCCTCCTCACCCCACCAGTCTCACCATCCGTCAGCCTCACATACACTGCTTCAGGGTGTAGGGCTAGTAGGGTTCCTCTGCTCCTCCCCTACTGCACACACAGAGAAACCGAGGCCCAGAGAGGGAAGGTAGCTGCTCACAGACCACAGCCAGTCGGTGGCAGAGCTAAGGCCAGACCCTAGTGTATCAGCCCCTAAGTGTGTCCGGAGCTTACTCTGTACTGGTGTTAAACTTCCTGGATGCTGATCTCTAATCCTTAGTCCGAAATTGGTTGGTTCGTTCCTGGTGAACAGATGGGGAAACTGAGGCTCAGAGGGTGGTGAGGGCTTGCTCCCCTCTTCCTGTGGCAGCCCCAGTGCCCCTGCGCCCACCCACACTGGACATCAGCCCCGAGGTATAGAGCAGCTCATCTGCTCATCCAAGATCAGCCTGGCCCATTAGGAGATTGGAGATTAGTGATTAGCATCTGCGTCAACCCCCCTGTGGGGGTTGGACAGAAGCTGGGACAGACAGGCAGGGGGGCACCAATCAGGTGAGGCAGCAGCCTAGCAGGTGCCTTGGGAACTGAATACGCAGCACGCTTCCATTATTAATTCCCAAGCCCAGGATCCACTAGCTGGGAGCTCAGTCGGGGAAGGGATCCCCAGGCGGGCCACCCGGCTGCCCAGGTAATACCCTCTGTGCTGAACCAGGGACTGAATGGGACTTTGGCTGAGGTGAGATGGCTAGGGCCAGTTTTGGGCCTTCTCATGGGAGACAGGGAGAGAGCGAGGGAAATAAAGCACCCTTCCTTTCCAAAAAAGCAGGATCCAGCTGCCTTCTGACAAGGGATTGTGTGGGGTGGAGTGGGGGGACCAGCTGAGGCCCTTGAGGTGGATGGGAGGTGCTCCAGTGAGACCTGGGTCTGACACCACCAACTTGCCTCAGTTTACTCATCTGGAACCAAAGAGGACAGGTGATGTGCTATAACGTGCTTGCTCAAAGCCTGTGGTTGGATGTGAGCACCATAGGCAGGCCAGAGGGCTTTTATGTCAGACCAAGACACTTTTTGTAGTAGATCACTCAAAGTCCTGCCTCCCTGTGCCTCCATTTCCCCCATCTGTTCCAGCTGTCTAAAACAGCTGGAGTTAGGGTAAAGGGTAAAGGAGTGCAGGCTCTGGAGTCCAGCAGACTGATTCTTACAGCTAATGTACATGGTGGCTCAGGTCCATTACCTGTTCCCTGCCTCAGTTTCCCCACCTGTGGGGCATGGGGCCCTGATCTCAGTGATCTTCAGAACCCATGCAGTCTTACTGTGCTGCAGGCCTGTGATTTCTGCAGGGCTAGAGCCAGGCCTGGCGATCTGCCTGCTTGGGCATGCCCCCCCTCCCCCACTGCCCCTTCCACGGAGGAGCCCAGAATAGGTTTCTATTTGGGCTGCAGCTCCAGCTGGCTGGTGGCGGGCTGGGAGGCAGGGGCGGGGCAGGCCCGCGCTGCCCTTGCCTTTGCCCTCAGACCAGCTGCAAAGACTCAGACACTGTCAACCAGAAGCAGCAGCCCCTGCCACTGCCCCACCATTACCCCCCATAGCGTCCCCACCAGCACCATGCCGGGGGTACCAGGGCCTGGGCCTGAACTGGCCTCAGCCCTTGAGGAGCAGTTGGGCCGGGCACTGGAGGAGCTGCGGGCGGTGGCTGAGGCAGGCCGGGCGGCAGTGACCCAGGCAGCCGAGGTAGCTGTAGCCACCGTGGAGCCGGTGGCCCGGGCAGCTGAAGAGCTGCGGGCAGAGAGAGCAGCACTGAGCCGGCGGCTGGATGCACTGAGCAGGCAGGTGGAGGTGCTGAGCCTACGGCTAGGGGTCCCACTTGTGTCCGGCCTCGAGCCTGAGCTGGAGCCCAGCGAGCTGCTCCTGGCTGCCGCCGACCCCGAGGCCCTCTTCCAGGCTGCCGAGGATGCTGGGACCCCTGTGGCCCACCCACCTGCCTTCAGCACCCGCCGCTGCTCCTCCACCTGCACCACCCGCAGCACTAGTCTTGTAAGTCCCTCTGGGTTGGTGGGAGGGGGAGGGTTTGAGCCAGGCTCTGCCTCCGCTGTGACTTTAGATATGTCACCACCTTCTCTGAGCCTCAGTTTACCTATCTTGACAGGGGACTGGGGCACTAGTGCTCTAAGACTAGGGCAAGAGGGTGCCAGGCTCCAGCCCTGAGGCATGTGTGGCAGCTGCCCTGGCAGCCCCTGGCATGACCCAGGCCCCAGCCCCCAGCTCCCTGCCGCCCTGCACCCTGGCTAGACCAAGCCTCCCTGAAACAGCTGCCACCTCAGCTCTCCTTACCCTTATAGCAGACAGAGAGGCCCTGCCAGGAGAGGAAGGGCCGTAATAGTTGGCCTGGGGCCTTGTCTTCAAGGGGCTAGAGAGATACCCTGGGAGGGCTGCAGGGCCGGAGACTCCTTAGAGGATGGTTTCCAGCAGGGGTGAGGCATGGGGAGGTGGTACAGAGGAGAGCTTCATAGAGGTCTTGGCTCAGGGCAGCCCCAGTCAGACACCTGGTCAGGAGCCTACGGGCCCCGGGCCAACCCCCTTGGCAAGGTGGCAGGCAGATGGGGGGCAACATGTGCTGCCTGGGCACTGGCCCAGGAGGACCCAGGCCTCGGGAACTGGCAGCACAGAGCAGAGCCTGCCTGGGAGGGGGCTGGGAACAAAGCAGCAAAATGAACTGAGGTTCAGGAGTTAGGCTACCTTCACTTCAGATCCCAGGCTGCGTCACACTTAGAGAGAGACTGTGGGCAAGTCAGTTAGCTGCCCTGAGCCTCAGTTTTCCCTTCTGTGTGTGTGTGTGTGTGTGTGTGTGTGTGTGTGTGTGTGTGTGTGTTTTGTTTTGTTTTTTCTGGTCTTGTTTTGTTTGCGACAAGGTCTTACTCTGTTGCCCAGGCTGGAGTGCAGCTGCATGATCATAGCTCTCTGCAGCCTCTAACTCCTGGGCTCAAGTGATCCTCCTACCTCAGCTTTCTGAGTAGCTGGGACTATAGGTGCACACCACCATGCATAGCTAATTTTTTATTTTTGTTTTTGTAGAGATGTGGTCTCGCTATGTTACCCAGGTTGGTCTCAAACTGCTGGCAAGTGGTCCCTCCCTCCTCAGCCTCCCAAACTGTTGAGATTACAGGCATGAGTCACTGCGCCCAGCCTTCCCTTCTGTTAAATAGGGACAGTAAAATCCCTAGTGCTTATGCAACGTTACTATGGACTGGAAATCATCATCATTATTACTATCCATTGTATTAATACAATTCTGGGTACATGGGAAGCCCTACAACAAGGCTGTCAGTACTTCTTCCCTGACTGACACTGACATGGCCATCTTTGGGCAAGCAGGCTGGCAGGCTAGCGGTTATTTCCAAGGCATGCCAGCAACCCTAGGATCTGCTCCCCTATCCATTGGGGGCATGGATGCCCCCGCCCCTGCTTAAAGTCCATGCCCTCTCCCCACCCTGCAGATGGAACCAGAGCCAGCAGAGCCTCCCTCTGCAGCAGTGGAAGCAGCCAATGGGGCCGAGCAGACCCGAGTGAACAAAGCACCAGAGGGGCGGAGCCCTCTGAGCGCTGAGGAGCTGATGACTATTGAGGACGAAGGAGTCTTGGACAAGATGGTATGGCCAGATCTGGTGGGCTGGGGGTTGGCAGAGTCCAGCAGGCACCAGGTAGCCAATGACGGGCTCTATATGCAGCTGGATCAGAGCACGGACTTCGAAGAGCGGAAGCTCATCCGGGCTGCACTTCGTGAGCTCCGACAAAGGAAGAGAGGTAGACAGCCAGTTGCCCTACCCTAGATCCGGCTGCCCCATTCCCCAGCTGTTCCCCTCATATTCTGGGGTCCATTTGTGGATACCCCAGCTTAATAACTGCCCTACCCAGCTTCTCCTTCTCTAGATCCAGCAGTTCCCTTGGCTGTTCCCCGCTGGATCCAGCTGTTCCCTTCCCTAGCTCCTTCTCTCCTGCTGGCAACCCCAGTTATTCTTCCCAACCAGCTTCTCTTCTCCTTCCTAGACCCAGACACTCCCTCCCGCAGCTACTCTCTCCTTGGATCCAGTTGCCTCTCAAAGTACTGTCAACGACTCCTTCCCTGAATCCAGATATTCCTTCTCCCTGCTGCTCCTCTCTCCCTGAAGTCCATTGATCGCTATCTTAGCCTCTGCCCCATCCAGCTTCCCTTTTCCTCGACACAGCTACTTCCTCCCCCAGATAGTTCTTCCCTGGACACATCTGTTCATTCCCTTAGATTCTGGGTTCAATTGCTTCTCCTCTCAAATACTCGCAATTACTCTTTCTCTGAATCTAGCTGCTTCTGCCAGGGCCCACTGATGGCCACCCCAGTCTCTATCTCTACCCACTTACTTCTGTTTTAAGCCCAGTTAACCCCCTTCACTAGCTTCTCTCCCAACTACTCTTCCCCTGGATCAGATTGCTTCTCAGCTCCCATCAATTGCTCCCTTCCTGGATCTAAATATTCCTGCCTCTCCAGCTGCTCTTCTCCAACCAAAGACCCACTGATGGCCCACTCAGCTACTTCCTCATTCAGCTTCTCCTTTCTTAGACTCAGCTACCCCCTCACTAGATCTAGATACCTCTCCTGACTTAGCTACTCATTTCTATAGAAACTCCCTTCTTGGATCCATACCCCTTTGAGTTTAGCTATTCTGTATTCTCTAGTTTCTGCCTGAGTCCATCAGCCCCTTCCCACACTCAATTCCCTGTCAAGTTATGGCTGTCCCCTCACCCCAGCTGTTCCTAGAGAGGCCCTTGTTACCTGTGTCATTCATGTTTCTAACAAGCCACCCTCCACCCCATCTTGTGTGCCCCATGCATCTGTGCATCTGTGCTGTGTGGGCGTTGGTGACCCTTTTGTGCATGCACGGGGCATCCCCTGCCCAGACCAGCGGGACAAGGAGCGGGAACGGCGGCTGCAGGAGGCACGGGGCCGGCCAGGGGAGGGCCGCGGCAACACAGCCACTGAGACCACCACGAGGCACAGCCAGCGGGCAGCTGATGGCTCTGCTGTCAGCACTGTTACCAAGACTGAGCGGCTCGTCCACTCCAGTAAGGGGCCAAATGGGGCCCAGGGCTCAGGGTGGGAACACATCCTCCCCCGGCTCCCTATGCCTTTCACATCCTTCTCATCCCCTGCCCCTGCAGATGATGGCACACGGACGGCCCGCACCACCACAGTGGAGTCAAGTTTCGTGAGGCGCTCGGAGAGTAAGGCCACCTGGCATTGCCCTGTGCCTGCCTGCCTGTCTGCCCACCTCCTCTGGCTCTTCCTTGAGCTCTCTCTCCGTGTCTTCAACTGTGCCGTCACTTTCTTTTCTCTGCCTGCGGCTATCACCATCCCTCCATACAGCCTCCCATCCCTCCCATCCTGGACATCTCCTGATGTCCAGCCCCGGCCCTCACCTGGTGCCCTTTCCCCTTTTCTGCAGATGGCAGTGGCAGCACCATGATGCAAACCAAGACCTTCTCCTCTTCCTCCTCATCCAAGAAGATGGGCAGGTGAGCACCAGCACCCAATCCCTGACCATAGAGGAGTCAGTGCCACAGGGGACCTAACTGCAAACCCATTTTACAAAGGGGTAGGCCGGGCACAGTGGCTCTTGCCTGTAATCCCAGCACTTTGGGAGGCCGAGGCAGGTGGATCACTTGAGGTCAGGAGTTCGAGACCAGCCTGGCCAACATGGTGAAACCCCATCTCTACTAAAAATACAAAAATTAGCCAGGCGTGGTGGCAGGCACCTGTAATCCCAACTACTGGGGAGGCTGAGGCACAAGAATCACTTGAATCTGGGAGGCGAAGGTTGCAGTGAGCTGAGACCACTCCACTGCACTCCAGACTGGGCAACAGAGCGAGACTCAGTCTCAAAAATAAATAAATAAACAAACAAACAAATAAATAAAATAGAGGGGTAGACTGGGATGCTTGGAGGTAACAGGTCTATAGCCAGGGAGGGGCAAAGGGAGAGTTAAGGATCCTGCTCATTTTGGGATCTCATTTTATTCTCAACCACACCACAGGAGAGGTGGATGTTCAGGGAGGCCAGTGAGTTGCTTAGGGGTTCACATCTCTGAGTGGCCACAATATCATTGAAGCCTTAGAGAGGCCTACCTACCACACTGAGCTGCCTGGTGGCACTGCCACTTGCCAGTATCTGCAAACCATGTCCCAGGTCACAGAGCACCTTTATACCTTAGCCCCATGAGGAAGGAGGGCACCCGCATGTAACAGAGGCTGTTGGGGATGGCAGAAAGCAGAAACAGGATCAGAATCCAGGATGGGAATCAAAGGGGTCCAGGGACTCTGAGTCAGAGACCTTGTTCAAGTTCTAGTTCTGGCCATCACATCCTCTGAAATCATAGGCAAGTTACTGCTGGGAGTCTCAGTTTCCTCACCTTTAGTGGAATTGGTAAGGCTCCTCCCTGCTCTTGTGAAGTTTAAAATGGCACACAGGAAAGGATCAACAGAGATGAATTATTATGATGTTAGTCGTCGTTTTTATTAGCGGATAGTGCCCAGAAGCTGAACTCACCTGTAACTTGAGGGTACAATGAGCCTTCTCAGAGAACTACTCTTGGGGGTGGGGGAGGGGGAGGCGGAAACCCGTTGAAAACCTTGCTGTCATTTGAGCCTCAGTGAACTCTAAAATGGGTGTGATGAGGACGCCTCCCTCCCTGGCAGGCGTTTGTGGCAGTGGAGATACTAGTGTGCCACAAGACACCCCCTCCTCCTTGCGAGTGGTGGCCCAGGCTGGGGAGCAGCCCTCCTGTCCCTGCCTAACATGCGCCTCCCCAACCCCTAGCATCTTCGACCGCGAGGACCAGACCAGCCCACGGGCCGGCAGCCTGGCGGCGCTCGAGAAACGCCAGGCCGAGAAGAAGAAAGAGCTGATGAAGGCGCAGAGTCTGCCCAAGACCTCAGCCTCCCAGGCGCGCAAGGCCATGATTGAGAAGTTGGAGAAGGAGGGCGCGGCTGGGTGAGCTGCAGAAGTGGGCTGGGCAGTGGGGGGCGGGGCTTCATAGTTGGCCCGGCAGAGGCGTGAAGAACGCGCGGCTAGATCTGCGGTGCAAAGGCCCGAAGGTCACGGAAGGCGGGGCCTGGGATCCACTGGGTGGGCCCACCGAGGCACGCCCCTTATAGTCGTGTGACCTGGTCCCGACACCGCCCCTACAGCAGCCCTGGCGGACCCCGCGCAGCCGTGCAGCGATCCACCAGCTTCGGGGTCCCCAACGCCAACAGCATCAAGCAGATGCTGCTGGACTGGTGCCGAGCCAAGACTCGCGGCTACGAGGTGAGCTCCGGGAGGCCAGGGGACCTGGAGGCCTCCCCAGACCCCAGCTCAGCACCCCCCTCTTAGCAGAGCTCCTTTTATTCCCCAGTACACTTCCCGCCACTGTGTGGCCTCACAAGGAACATGGACAGGCTCTTGGGGTGAGGAAACTGAGGCTCAAAGAGGACACAAGACAAGCCCTAGATTCCAGCATCAGTGATGAAGTAACAGGGCCTCTTGGGTGGTGGGCAGGGTTCAAGGCTGGATCCCACTCTTGGAGTCCCCTCCTTGTTGCTCTGTAGGAGGCCCTGAGTCAATTTCTCTAAACCAGGGAAGGAGTGATGAGGCATGGCCATGGCCTTAGCTGCGTGGCGCTGGGCCTCTCAGTAGTTCTGTCCCTTGAAATCGCAAATATGGGAGTTGACAGACTGACTTGGAGGAGGCTCGTGTTCCAACTATTCACTCATTGTGCAAGCTACAGGGCCTCTCTGTGCCCAGCACCCTAGGTCTGGAATATCAGAATGCTGAGGGATAGACAGCAGCGGGGAGTGGCCCCCAGGGTCCTGACCCGTCCTCTTACGGCTTATAGCATGTCGACATCCAGAACTTCTCCTCCAGCTGGAGTGATGGGATGGCCTTCTGTGCCCTGGTGCACAACTTCTTCCCTGAGGCCTTCGACTATGGGCAGCTTAGCCCTCAGAACCGACGCCAGAACTTCGAGGTGGCCTTCTCATCTGCGGAGTAAGTGTGGGCCCTGGCCCTGCTAATGTTGCTGCACATCTGGGGCTGGACATCGGGACCAGGCCCAGTTGCCCTGAGAACCCCTGGAGCGGGCCGGCCACTTGGTCAGTCAGCAGCTGAGACCCCCTTCCCCAGAGAGTCCCCGTCCTTCTCCATCCCCGCCCACCCGCTGCTGAGCGTGCCAGGTGCCCGCCGGAACGAAGGAGCCACAGGCCGGCCTACCAGCCTGGGCCAAGGCCCACCAGGTGGCCCTGTCCATATCCCATCCATCCTCCCTCTGTCCCCTTCTCCCTCTCTCTCCCTTTCTCTGTCTGCTCTCCTCCCACTATCACCAGAGCTTCCTGCTCCCACGGGATCCCGGCTGGAGATTCCAAAAGGAGGCTCCTGGCCCGGGCACCGTGCCCGCCCAGCCTATATAGTGCTGCCAGAGGCTTATATAGGACCTCAGCAAGCCCTCCACTTTGGAATCGTTGCCCCGTCTGCTCACCTCACCCTCAGCACCCTTCTCCATCTGTCTTCCCTTCTCTCCCCTTTTCTTTCTGGTTTTTCTCAAATTTCTTCCTCTTCCTCCTTCTCCTCCTCCTCCTCCCCCCACCTCCTCTCACGCCTCCCTCACCCCCTCTCCCCGGGGCACAGCCCTCCTCTCCAACCTTGGTGCCAACGCCGTTTACCCCACCCCGCGTTCCCGCTTGCCCCTAGAGTTCTCTGCACCTGTGACTGGTTTGGCCCCCACCCCTGTCTGCATTGCACACCATTAGTGATGGGTAGTGAGCGGCACGTCCACAGTGGGGAGGCGGCATGCGGGGGGCTGGCAGACTGCAGCACTGGAATCGTAATTGAACTCATGTCTCTGTGTGTGTGTGTATGTGTGTGTCTCTGTTTCCTCCCCTCTCTCTTCTCTGCCTCTTCCCTCTCTTCCCCACCTGGGGCCCTGGCCTCCTGCCCCCATCCCCCACCCCTTCCCGGCCCCCTACCCTCCCCAGGACCCATGCGGACTGCCCGCAGCTCCTGGATACAGAGGACATGGTGCGGCTTCGAGAGCCTGACTGGAAGTGCGTGTACACGTACATCCAGGAGTTCTACCGCTGTCTGGTCCAGAAGGGGCTGGTAAAAACCAAAAAGTCCTAACCCCTGCTCGGGGCCCCACGGTGAGAAACGCCGCCTCTCCCATCTGCCCCATTTCACCAGAATCTGCTCAGCAAGGCACAGAGAGGGTCCAGGGAGGCGGGTGGGAGAAGTAAGGGGGGCATTTAGTCAAGCCAGAGGAGCCAGACATAGCCCTGTCTTCTGGCAGTTCAGGGCCCAGCAGGCGAGACCATTCTGAATGGGCGGTGATGACCCAGGTGAGTAGCACTGTGATGGGGGAAGCCCAGGGGAGGTGCCTGACCCAGGCTGCAGGTCTGGGCCCTCCATCTGAAAAAAGTGCAAACTAAGCTGGGATCTGAACAAGTTCAAGCTAAAGGAGGGCGAGGGAGTTCTAGGCAGAGGGATCAGCCTAGGCTTAGCAGGGCAAGAGAGCTGAAGAGCGCAGCACACCAGGAAGGGAAGAAACTTGAGTCTGGATATGAGGGAGGAGGAGGGGGCCACAGTTAGAAGTTTGACCTTCAGGCTGAGCACGGTGGCTTATGCCTTTAATCCCAGCACTTTGGGAGGCCGAGGCGGGCAGATCACGAGGTCAGGAGTTCGAGAGCAGCCTGGCCAACATGATGAAACCCCATCTCTAGTAAAAATACAAAAATTAGCCAGGCGTGGTGGCACACACCTGTAATCCCAGCTACTCAGGAAGCTGAGGCAGGAGAATCACTTGAACCCAGAAGGCAGAGGTTGCAATGAGCCGAAATCGTGCCACTGTACTCCAGCCTGGGTGACACAGCGAGACACTGTCTCAAAAAAAAAAAATTTGACCTTCCTCCTGAGGACAACAGGAGTCATAAAAGGTTTCCAAACAGAGGAGGGATGGATGTAGCATTCTAGGACCTTCCTTGGATGAGGCTTGGACGAGAGATGGGATGGACTAGATGGCTGGAATAGCTTAAGAGCGAGAGAGACAGGCTTCCCAATAGATCTGGTTTGGAGAGGGAGAGGGAAGGTCAAGAAGTCTGCCAGGCTCCTATGTGGGCACTGGAGAGTTGGTGGTGCCATACTTCAAAGTGGGGAGCTCAGGGGCAGGACCAGTTCAACAGGAAGATGTTTCTGGCTGGGGGTTCTGGATCCTAAGCCAGCTGTGGCATTTCCTCTCTGGTCACCTCACCTCAGTACCAAAGTAGAGAATTCAGATCCTGAACTAACTACCCCATTACAGACAAGGAGCTCAGAGAGAGAGATGGGTTAAGACTGTCCTGGGGGTGGGAGGGAGAGGGAAGATGGTTAGTTCAGAGGTGGGGCCAGAAACTGAGACTCCAGACTCCCCACTTAGTGGCTGTTTTCCTTGCCCCATCACTGCGTTCCCGCCCATTTTGTAGAGAGGATTGAAAATAGAGGCCCAGAAGGAGCAAGGGGATTGGCTGAAGGAATGTGAGTCAGTGACAGGTAGGGGCACACTCAGATGCCCCTCGGGGCCTGGAGCCATTATGGGGGGCAGTCCACATGTGCGCGCACACACACAGAGAAGGAGCGCAGATGAGGGGAGGATGGGCTTGGTGCTATCTCCAGATCATATATGGACTTAGGAGCTGCTGCCCAACAAGCCAGCTTGGAGGGAGAGGGGCCCAGCCCAGCCCTGATCCAGTTGGAAAGTGTGACTCAGCCGTGCTGTTGCTCAAGTTGCCTGGTGTTTGGCCTGTCACTGGGGCAGCCTGAGCCCTGAGCCCTGAGCCGTGAGCCCCAGTGTAAACAATGGCTTTATAAGGTCTCCAGGGAAGGGAGTAGGGGCGGGAGGGAGCACCAGGTTAGAGAGGGAGGTCAGGATCCCTGGGACGATAGCCACAGCTGGAAGAAGCTTCAGAGAGAGGCTGCCTCTGCATCATGGTATAGCTCGGGAAACAAGCCCAGTATGGGATAGGGATGACCCCAGGGGCACGCAGCACATCAGCAGCAGACCGAGAACCCTCTCACTCATCCTAAATTCTTGTAAGGTCTCAAATGAGATAGGGAATAACTGCCCTGTTCTAAAGAGGGGGAAACTGAGTCATAGAAAATGGCCTTATCTAGCACCCACAACTGGTTAGGGATAGAGTCTGGACTAAAACAGAGGTGTTCTGCCTCCCAGGTTTCTTCTTTGAAGGAGTCCAGGTGAGTTGGGAGTAGGCCCAGCCCTACCACAGTTCTGAGTTTGTCCATAAGGGCACAAGATGGGAGGTGGTCTTGGGTTCTCGGGTGTCTTGAGAATAAGGAGGAATTCTTGCCATTATGCCTTCCCTGCCATAGGAAACTCATTCTGCAACATTGAATGCCTGCTATGTGCCAGGTGTGGCAGATAGGGGAGAGCAAACAGGGATCAAGACAGAAGAGGTCTTGCTCTGGGGGTTGAGGGACAGGGGAAAGGTAGCCAAAGAGCAGACTCCAGCTTCAGAGCTCTGGGGGCTGTCAGTTGCTTAATAGGCACAACCCACTCACTCCAGAGTGGGGAAAAGGCTTTGCCAACACCCAGAACTGGGGGCCAGGGTCCCATGCGGCCTAACCTGCACTTACTAAACCATGGGGCTTGAAACAAGCTCCTCTGCTCTGTCACTCAGTTTCCTTATCTGTGAAGGGCAACTAGCATTCTGAAGGATGGCCAGAAGGGTGGTCCCACCCCTGAGCATGGTGTAGATGGTCCATTGGTATTGGCTGGGATGATCATCTGCCTCCCCTGCTCTACCCAAGGCAGATGAGAAGGGTTAGAGAACCCCTCTGCTGCCCACACATTCCCTGGCCTCCATTTCCAGCAGCAGGGATATCCCTACCCCCTGTCAAAGAACAGGGGTCTGGGCCTCTCAACAGGAAGTACCAGGTCAGGCAGCTAGCAGACAATCATCGGGAGACCACAGGCTAACTAGAGTGAGAAATGTCCATAGAGAAAGATTGGCCAGTGATGAAGCCCATTTGGGTGCAAAGGCCCAGCTGAGAGGCTTCTACCAACTGAAGTGTGTCAGTGAGGGTGAGCAGAAGGCGGTCTCCAGGGAGAGCACGGGCAGGGTTTGGAGCCAGCTCCTCCCCAGAGTTGGAGGAAACAGACCCAGGACCTGCCTGACTGGGATGGGGCTCTCTTCTGCCATCTCCACCGCCACCTGCCTAGCTGTACTCCCCCGCCCCGAGGGATACCTCTAGGCTTGGGTAGATGAAGCCAGGGGCTTCCTGCCTTCCTGGAAGGCTTTTCCCTGCCTGGAGTTTATTAAAGACCAGCAGGCAATGCGGCAATAAACAAGACCTTGGGGTAGAGGGGCGCCAGGAGAGGCGGGGCCGGTGCTGACATCCACCCCCTTGCCCCCTCCCTGCAGGATGCTAGTGGACTGTGTGCCCCTGGTGGAGGTGGAGGACATGATGATCATGGGCAAGAAGCCTGACCCCAAGTGTGTCTTCACCTATGTGCAGTCGCTCTACAACCACCTGCGGCGCCATGAACTGCGCCTGCGCGGCAAGAATGTCTAGCCTCCCTGCCCGCATGGCCAGCCAGTGGCAAGCTGCCGCCCCCACCCTCCGGGCACCGTCCCCTCCCTGTGCGCCCGCCCACCGCTGCCCTGTCTGTTGCGACACCCTCCCCCCACATACACACAGCGTTTTGATAAATTATTGGTTTTCAACGATTCTGACTCCTCCCTGCGTCTCCTGGGGGTGGGGAGGGGGTTTGAACCGAAGGCGGCTCTGCAAGGTCTCCAACTCCAGCAGCCAGGCACTTGGGAATGCGAGGTCCCGCTGGGGTCCTCAGAGGTGGTTTTTCCGACCTCCCACCCCATCCCCCCCGCAGCAAGCAATGAAGGAGTCGAGCCTCCGTTAAGGCAGGAGGGAATTTAGTGGAGCTGGAGAGGGAAGAAAGTGGGGTTGGGAGAACCTTTCATCCCTGCTGGCCCGGGGACGGGGCATCGGCCCTCAGCAAGAGAGGTATTCCCGGGATGCTGAGCGCTTCATTCTGTCTCCAGGACTCAGGCAGGGTGGTCCCAGCTCCGCCGCGCCCCCGGACCTACAGGTCGGCGTGGTCCGAAGTTTCCTCCGGGGGCCTAGCGGGCGCCCACACGTACTCGGGGGGCACCTGCGCGTCGGGCGCCGCCTTGCGGTAGAAACCGAGCTCCTGCACCAGCGCGTTGATCTCTTCGCGGGTCATTTCACTGAGCGATATGCGCTGAGGCGGTGGAGGGGCGGGGTCAGCAGGCTGGGTCTCACCTCGGACCTCGCCCCCAGCCCGCCTCCCACGGCCTCACCTCCAGTTCCTCGTAGCGGCGGCCCAGCAGCACGAGCTCAGGGTCGGCCCCAGGGAGGTGTTTCATCACCAGGTTGTGACTGGAGGTGGTGTTAAGGAGGGTGGTGGTGGGCAGAGGGAGGTAGTGGTTCCCGCAGCCTTACTGATGGGAACAGCATTGCCTCCATTGCTGAGCGCTTACTCTGTGCCCGGGTGGGGCTAGGGTCTCCGCTTATACGTGAGAAAATTAGGGTTCATTCTGTGGCAGTCATCACTAGTCAATCTCTCTTGCCCACCCAACATGGAGACCACCTCAGAATCCTCTGGGTGGCCGCTACCAATCAATTCCACTTGTCAGTTGAAAACCATCTGCCACCCCTTTCTTAAGTGGAGATTCTCCCAGGTGCCCACCCCATTTCCCCTCCCCCAGAACAGAAGGATACTAGAATGGAATGTCCTGGGTGACGAAAGCCTTCACCTGGGGAGGAACCAGAGCATCAGAGACCATGACCCCAGTCTCCTCGAGGTACAGACGGGGCACTGAAGCCCAGTGAAGTCATAAAGCAAGTCAGGTGCAGGCTCCTGACTCTTAGCCTAGGGATCCTCCCCCCAGCCCCAGTCATTAGGACCATGTTGCCCACTCCCCAAGAGGCTCAGGGGGAACAGAGCTAGGGACCTTTTCCTTCAAACTCACCTCCTTTAGGCGATTCAGCTGTCATCCCCCACAGGTCTGGAGGGGGATAAAATGGGATAGGTCAGGAGTCCTTCACATTTATTCCAGCCACATCCCCAAAGCCATACATCCTTATCCCTGAGTTGGGTCGGTCTGAGAGTTATCCCTGGATCAGCAGTTCCCAAGGTGTGAAGGAAATGCTGGCCCCTTGTGGACAGAAGGGGGAACTGTGTATACAGCTGGGGAGACTCAGGCCTACAGACACCAGGGGAAAAGAGCAAGGCCAGAGACCCACAGTGTGCCTGCCAGCCTTGGGGCCTGTACATCCTACTGGCTGTTGACTGACTCCCAATGCCCAGGGGAAATGATCACCCTGCTCCTCTTAAGCAGTAGAGACCTGGGCTTGGCCTTTGATCCCTGAAATCTCACAGTGGAGGCAGACCAGAAGGAAACACCTCAGAATGTCCCTGGGGGCCCCCATTAGAGACACCTACCATCTGGTCCCTACTCTACACAGGCAGACCTCACCCTGCCTGCCACCTGCGGCCCAACCCCACAGACCATCTGCTTGCTTCCCTGACATGGGAGGGTGGGAGGACTCCTCCCTGCCTTCCCTGAGGAGACACCACCATCCAGCAGGAGTGCAGACCCCAGGACCACCCACTCCAGCCCTCCTCCATCCTACCCTCAGCCCTTTTCTTAGAGACAGGGTCTCACTATGTCCGCCAAGCTGGTCTTGAACTCCTGGGCTCAAGCAATCCTCCTGTCTTGGCCTCCCAAAGTGCTGGGATTACAGGGGTGCACTACCGGCACCCAGCCATTCTACACCTTTTTGTCAGAGCTGACAAAAAGCTCAGAGAGGGGCTGTGATGGTCAAAGTCACATAGCAAGACAGGGACTCCGAAAGGGAATTTCCTGGTAGGGGGAGCATGGGAGGCTGCTGCAGAGTAAATGTTGACAAACAAGTTCCCAACTTGGTTCCCCCTCCAAGTTGGCCCCCTTCCCTGGCTCCTGCATATGGAAGGAGGCACCCAGAAACTCTTCTCTCCCCCTAGAAGAAGGAAAAGAGACTTTCTGGAACCTCAAGCCCTGGAACTGGGTGGGGGAGGAATTCCAGGAACATGAAGTGATGGGGGATGGGAAGTTGGGACAGGATTGGGAGTCATAGGCCACGAGAAGAGTTAGGAGACTGCTCTGTCAGTGTGTCTGGGTGTCCGCTGGCGGGCCGGGTAGGGGGAGCTGGGGAAGGGTTCGGAATTCCAGGCCCCAAAGTCGGTGTCTCAGACGTCCACGGTGGATGCTGGGGTCATCTGGGGCTAGGGAACAGGAGGGACGGTCCCGGCGCAAGGGGGAAAGCAGGGACTCGAGGTTCGAGGTGGTCCTGGGGCCGGGGCAGACGGTGCTCCCATGGGGCCGCAGGGTTGGGGGACGGTAGGGTTGGGGGACGGTAGTGTCGGGGCTGGAGGCCGGCGTACTCACCTCTACCCGGGCGCGGGTCAGGCCGCTCAGACGATTCCAGTCCGGCCGGTAGGCAGTGGCGGCTGTGGCTGGGGCCACAAGCGCCGCGAGAAGCAGCAGCAGCGCCAGCGGAGGCAACAGGAGGCTCATCGGGACCCGGCCGCAGGTGATGCGCAACCTGGAGGCGAACCTCCGAGTCGCTGCGCCACGTCTGGGCCTGTAGGCTGGCCCCGCCCCCGCCCCCGCCCCCGCCCCCGCCCCCACTCCCGCTAGAGGCCCAGCCCCGCTGGAGACCACGCCCGCAGCGATCGGTCTCCGCCCCACGGCTCCCCGCCGTTACCTCCCGCTTGCTCAGGGTGAGGTCCCGGCTCCTCCCTGGCCTTTGGGCCTTCACTTTCCCAGGTCCGAGAGTGTCCACGCTCCTTTTGTAGAGCGAGGATGTGGACGCTCCCACAGGATGCGGCCAGGCAGCGCCACCTCACGCCGGCAGAGGGTGCCGGCGAGACGCTGAGGGACGCGGGAGTTTCTGAGCCAAACCTGCCACTTTAAGATAGGGAAACTGATAGGACACCCAAGAAAAAAAAAGGAAGAAAGAAAGAAGAAAAAATAAGATAGGGAAACTGGACTTTCTGAGGACTCCTCGCTTTGGAGCGTGGGAGATGGAGAGTGAGATTCGGTAGAGGGGGTGCGGCTTCTGGGAGCCACTGAGACCTACCAGCGTGCCTTCTACCATCCACAGCTACTGCTGAGCAGACAGACTGTCCTGGGGTGAGGAAAGGAATTTGTTACTCAAAGGTGGGAAAATGCAAGGAGGGTTACAGCTGTTAGGCCACAACAGGGTCTTAAATCAGCTGGGTTATATCTGTGGAATCAGGATTTACTTCTTTTTTTTCTTAATGTGGCTATCCAATTCAATTAAAAATCTTGTCTTTTTCAGTGCTACTCTGCAGTGTTACCTCTGTTATATATAAATAGGCAACCATGGCCGGGCGTGGTGGCTCACACTTGTAATCTCAGCACTTTGGGAGGCCGAGGCGGGTAGGTCACTTGAGGTCAGGAGTTCAAGGCCAGCCTGGCCAACATGAAAGCCCATCTCTACTAAAAATACAAAAATTAGCCAGGCGTGGTGTGGGCGCCTGTAATCCCAGCTACTTGGGAGGCTGAGGCAGGAGAATCGCTTCAACCTGGGAGGCAGAGGTTGAAGTGAGCCAACATCCTACCACTGCACTCCAGCCTAGGCGACAGACACTCTGTCTCAAAAATAAATAAATAAATAAATAAATAAGCAACCATATAAATATCTGGGAGTCTACTTCTGAATATTGTACCCTATTCTACTCCTCCAGTGCATTTGTCTAACTATGCTGTCTTATTAAGTATAGCTTTATAGTCAGACTTGACATCTGGTTGTGTGTTGGTCCTCTAGCTTTGTTCTTTCTGCTTTTTTTTTTTTTTTTTTTGAGATGGAGTCTCGTTCTGTCGCCCAGGCTGGAGTGCGGTGGCCCCATCTTGGCTCACTGCAACCTCCGCCTCCCAGGTTCAAGCAATTGTCCTGGGCGGCACCATGCCCAGCTAACGTTTTTTGTATTTTTAGTAGAGATGCTGTTTCACCATGTTAGCCAGGATGGTCTCTATCTCCTGATCTCATGATCCACCTGCCTCAGCCTCCCAAAGTGCTAGGATAACAGGTGTGAGCCACTGCACCTGGCCCGTTTTTGGTTTTTTTTTTTTGTTTTTTTTTTTTTTTGAGACAGAATCTCGCTCTGTCACCCAGGCTGAAGTGCAGTGGCTCAGTCACAGCCTGAACCTCTCAGGCTCAAGCAATCTTCCCACCTCAGCCTCCTGAGTAGCTGGGACTATAGGCATGCACCACCATGCCCAGCTGATTTTTTTTTTTTTTTTTTTTTTGAGATGGAGTTTCCCTTTCATTGTCCAGACTGGAGTACAGTGACATGATCTGGACTCACTGCAATCTCTGCCTCCCCGGTTCAAGTGATTCTTTTGCCTCAGCCTCCCAAGTAGCTGGGATTACAGGTGCCCGCCATCACGCCCAGCTAATTTTTGTATTTTTAGTAGACATGGGGTTTCACCATCTGGGCCAGGCTGGTCTCGAACTCCTGACCTCAAGTCATCCACCCGCCTTGGCCTCCCAACGTCCTGGGATTACAGGTGTGAGCTACTGTGCTGGCTTTCTTTTTTTTTTTTTTTTTGGGACAGTCTTGCTCTGTCACCCAGGCTGGAGTGCAGTGGCTCAATCACAGCCTGAACCTCCCAGGCTCAAGCAATCCTCCCACCTCAGCCTCCTGAGTAGCTGGGACTACATGCATGCACCACCGTGCCAGCTGAATTTTTTTTTTTTTTTTTTTTTTTTTTTTTTTTTTTGAGACGGAGTTTCCCTCTCATTGTCCAGGCTGGAGTACAATGGCATGATCTGGACTCACTGCAACCTCTGCCTCCCAGGTTCAAGCGATTATTTTGCCTCAGCTTCCCAAGTAGCTGGGATTACAGGTGTCGGCCACCACACCTGGCTAATTTTTTGTCTTTTTAGTAGAGATGGGATTTCACCATGTTGATCAAGCTGGTTGCGAACTCCTGGGCTCAAGTGATCCTCCTGCCTTGGCCTCCCAAAGTACTGGGATTACAAGCATGAGCCATCATGCCTGGCCTGTGGCCTGCATTTTCCTGTGGTGAGGGCCATGTGTAAGCCCACAGCCTCAGTGAGCCACCGCAGGCAGTCTAGCTTTGTTCTTCTTGAAGGCTGTCTTGACTATACTCGGCCTTTCGCACTTCCAGGTACAATGTAAGGCCAGCTCGTCAACCTCCACAGAAAAACCTTCCACGTTTCTATCCGGATTTCAAATTCCCATTGGGGAAATCAATGTGGGGAGACTCTACAGCTTTACATTATTGTGTTTTTTCTACCACGAACATGGTAAGTCCCTCCATTTCTATAGGTCTTCTTTAATTTCAGTAACATTTTGTGATTTTTAGAATAAATATCTTGCATATCTTTCATTAGATTTATTCCTAGATATTTAATTTTTTATAGCATTACAAATTCTATTGTTTTTACATATTCATTTTCTTTTTTTTTTTTTTTTTTTTTTTTTGAGACAGAGTCTT